GCCTCGTTCCCTGCCGCTCCAGGCTGTGCTCCGGCTCCCTGCGCGATTCCTATCGCCGACTGATTCCATTTCCTACCAGAATAACGCGAACCGCACACTCGGCTCGCTGCTCAGCGCGGTTCCCTGCGTGGATGGAGAGTGCTGCTGCTGCGGGGAGTAACTCGGCTACTGTCACTCTGCTTGCGGAGAGCTGTGAGAGTACCCGACATGGGAAGGAGGGAAAGTTAAAGGGAAAAAAAATGTGGGTTGTTTTTTCCTAGCGAATCAATAGAAAAAGTCTTTTCTCAGTAGAGGATGTCTGTCTATAAAACTGCTTGCAGAGGAAACCCCTAGAACTTACTTTTCTTAATGTCCTCAGCAAACGCGGTCGGATTTAGCAACAGGGATTTACTAAAAGCTGTTACACAAACAAATAACTAAGTACAAAATTAGCAGCAGATCAATTAAGCTGTGCTAAAGTCAGCAGTGAGGAGAGCAGAAGCCCTCACGGTCATGGAGAGGCTCTGCCTCGCCTGTGGCCGTGGGAGAAAAATTCAGCTGCTCAGGAGTTTGCCCTGCTGAAGTACCTAACCAAAGGGTGGACGAAAGACAGATGTTTTCCTGTTTTCTTTGGCAGGGGAGGGAAGGCAGATGGTGCTGTGTCTGGAGTTTCAGGAGTATTTCTCATAATTTTTGTCCACTAGCACTCTGCTCACTTTGGAGGTGCCTGGAATTGGTTTGACTTTTCCCCACCCTTTCCTAAGTGTTGTACAGACCTCAGGCTGCCGTTGCTGGATGCAGAAAGGTGGTTACAGGTGCTGTATTTCTCCTCCATGCTTCTCCAGTCCAGCTAGAGCCCAAAGCTGCTCCTGCCAAGCTGGACTGGGAGCAGAGCATCACACATCTCCATGGTGGTGGTGCTTGTAGTGCTCAGCTCCACGCAGAGGTGGTCCAGTGCCTTTGCACCTGGTGCTTGTTTGGTCAGCTGGGATTGCTGCTGGCAGCAGCTCTTGGTGCTGCTGATCTGCTCCCTGTGGCTGTGCCACTCTCCAGCTGGTACTAACCACGATGGCACCGTTGGCCACGCGGTTTGGCAGGGCTGGGGCGAGGCGATGCGTAATGTTACCGGTAAGAGCTTCAGCCCCTGCAGTGTCTTGGGGAATATGCCGTGCTATCTAAAGCCAGGTGTGGCTGCTGATGAGCTCTCCCAATGCACTTTCCTGGTACATGTTGTTCTGTGTTTTTCCTGCTGTTCTGCTGCAGGCACTTGGCCCTGAGCCCAGCAGCAGGACCGCCCTGCCGGGGGACTTGCTGGCCATGGAGCCTGCTCAAGGGCTATTGCACAGGCTGATGGCAAGGGCCAGTGGCCAAGGGTGGGTGTTCAGGATGCCCCCCCAGGAGGGGTCATGGGGACTCCTCTGTGCCTGTCCTGCCGCAGTACCCTGCCATGGGCTCAGCTGTCATGGCCAGTGCCAGGATGGGCCCATCACCTTGCCTTGTTTGGTGTCCTGTGGGTCCCACAAGCAGCACTGCACCTCCAGTGAGCTCTGCCCTGCTGTAAAAGTGCTTTGGTCTGACTAAGGTGTTCTGCAAGAAGCTGTAGAATGAAAAAGCTCCAGACTGCTCACTGCCTCCATCTCTGTGCCTGGCTTGCTTAGCATCAGGGCAGCCCCTTGTACACCCCATGGAGAGGATGATCATTGCACCAGCACAGGCTTCAGAGCCGCCACCTCCTCTGAAAGCACTTGGCTTGGTTTAGAGGCTTTTTAATTGAAAAAAAAAAAAAGCAAGTGCTCTATCCTGCATCTTCAAGTGTGTAGTGCAGGGCTCCTTGCTCTTAAGCAGATGAAGTTTTAGTAGGGAAAAGGAGTGAAACTGTAGAACTGTTGGAATAATTTAGTGTGGAAGGGACCTACAAAGACTGTGGGGTCAACTCTCCTGCTTAAGGCAGGGCCAGCTTGGGAAAGTGGCTTGGCATCCCTCAAACAAGGGGGATAGGCTCTCCTGTCCAAATTCAAGTACTGAGGCAGAGTTGTGTCCTTTCTGGCCTTCAGTTCCAGCAGGGTGATTCCTGCTTTCCCTGGCCTGAAGAAGGCATCACGACCCTGAGTCTCCACACTCAAGTTCCTGCACTCCCCCTTATCTGCACTGGGGTCATGTCCCTCATGTCTCTAATTATCCTAAAAATCCCTCTCATTATCTTGTGTGATTCAGTGACCTGCATCCAATTTCTGTGGGTGTAACGAGCATCAGGCTGCATGAAAGTTCCTGTTCATCAGACTTGGACCAGAATAAATTGCAAGTTTGTAAAATTTCAGTAGCTGACAAGGTGCCTTTGGGGTTGCTCCTGTTTCTTGGCCATAGCCACGGCCAGCACAGGCTTGCCCGGACTGGTACTGGTGCATGGGCTCCCACAGGACTGAGGGGCACAGAGCAGTGCTGGCTGAGCACCAGCAAAGCTCCAGTATAGGCAGGCTGAGGTCGTTCTAGAGAAGTTGCTCAGCTCTGCTGTAACTCCTGATGTTTGGATTTTCATCAGCGTGCTGTGGCCCATCCTCCCTTTCCCCCTCCAGCCCCGGTGGGACGTGCGGCAGCGCTTGCCTCCGCGCCGGGCTGAGGCTCAGGAAATCCGGGCTGTGTCCCAGGCCCTGTCACAGCCTGCCTCTGTAGCACGGAGCAAGCCTTGGTCCTCAGGGTAAGTGACGTGGTCTGGCTTGCCTCTAAACGGCAGGATGCCAGAGCCTGGAGCAAACTGTCGCCTCTTCTGATGGATTCCATATGGGAGAGCAGATATGTGGTTGCATCAGGCAGTGGGAACAGACTAGAAAAAAACCACAAAACATGGAGCACTCTTGGTTGTGAGTGTTCTCACTTCTTCTTGTGAGTGGATTTGAGTCTTTGCCTGCGTTACAGTTATGAAATGGTTGTAAAAATCCTTCCTCCTTTCCCTGTCACACTTGGCTAGTTCTTGTGGCAAGGGGACGTGCGGGGGCTGGGCCAGCCAGGCCCCTTGTGCAGCTGCAATGTCACCAGCACAATTTGTGCTTTAACAACCTCCCCCACCTTCCCCCATGCTGGTGTGGGCTAAGCAAAGGCTGCTGGAGCTGGGCCAGGCCTCAGAGGCAGTGGCTGAGTGGTGTTTCTGGTGTCTCTCCCAGGTAATAGTCCATGATGTGAATGAGCTGACGGAAAAGCTGTTTCCCATCGTTGAAGCCATGCAGAAACACTTCAGTGCTGGATCGGGGACCTACTATAGCGACTCGATCTTCTTCTTGTCAGTTGCTATGCATCGCATCATGCCCAAAGGTAAGCCTCTGCTGAGCTGCCTCCAGAAACACAGGCTCTCTTTTTCTTCTGGACAGAGATGCTATCCAGTGCTATTTGAAAAGCAGATAAAGTTAAACTTTTGGGATGGGCTCCTGGGATTCTGCTCCTTCCTGCAGAGTGATGGACCCATCAGTCCAAGGCTGCCCACATTCAGGTGGTGTGAGTGACAGGAGGTTGTCCATGCCACATGGCAGCTAACCCTGCCCTCATACCCTGAGATGGTAGGAGAGGTGAGATGGGAGCAAGTGTGTCTGCCCTGTGTGTGTTTGCAAGTCCTCCTTCCCCTTGGGGTGCCAGCAGAAGAAAGTGCTGTGCCTGTGGTGCGGCTGTGCACTAGTGAAGCATCAGCAGAGAGCAGTTGTCGAGCTTTTCCTCTTGGCTTTGGGGAGCTCTTGGAAAGCTTTGTTGATTAGCAGCCACTGATCACTTAAGTTTCCTTCTTATGCCTTTGCTCTGCTGTTATCAAGTGCAGAAACAACAATATATCTGCAGGAAAACAAGGAAGCTGGCAGTTGGTTCCGCTGATGCCGTGTTGTCCTCCCCTGGCTGCACGCGCTTGTCTCTCCTGGGACCAGCATGCTCTCTAGCCTTTGACTGTTAGCATGAGGAGGGTGTGACATCCCTGGGCTCCCAACACCTTTGCTGGTGCTCCCTCAGCCCTGTCTGTCCCTACCTGATGCTGGTCCCTGTTGGCTGCCTGGCAGGCCTGGTGCACTGGTGATGGCAGCATCCCCTCCTGGGCTGGCCACATGTCCTCCCTGGACCATGGCAGGGAGCAGGTGGCAGTGGTGGCACATGCCCCAGAGTCCTACCTGGCCATACACCTGCCCCAGGAGGGCATGACCAGCCTCTTGAAACTGTTTGTGGATGTTGTGGTGGCTCAGTCCTGTGTGCATGTTGCTGAAATTCCTGTTCCCATGGCTAGCACCACTGGTACCTTGGCATCTGGAGCCTCTGCCCAGCTGTGATATTCTCTGCAGACTTGCTACCATGGGTCTCACCTGCACTCTTGATGACACATGAGCAGGTACAACTGCCCTGTGCCCCTGTGGAGTCCTGTCTCAGTTTGGCTCTACCCAGTAGCTCCAACGTCTGCACTGCTTCGTGAGGCTGCTTCTGTCCTTTGTGGACTTTCTCTTGCTCTCCTGGCACAGCCATCCCACACTAGCTCATTAAACAGTGGGGCCAGTGGTGGCCCCAGGGGTCCCATCCAACTCCCACTGATCATTACTCTGTGGTCTCCAGCAAATGTGCTGTACTTTGCTCTCCATCAGACTTGGGTAATTTCTTGTGAGTCTGGTGCTGTCTGCAGTGCGAGTGCTTTGAAGTACGCTGCATACAAATGACGGTATTAACGCTGGCTAATTCACTCCTCCCGATTCCCTGCTCTGTCTTTACTGTGTGCTAAAGATAGCCGTGTCGTGCTGCCTGCCAGCAAGAAGCTGCTCATCCTGAAATGCCTTTTCTCAGTTCATCAACCCATGAGTTGTCTCGTCTCTTAGAAAGCTTGTTTGCTCTCCTCCCTCAGCCTGACTGGGCTTTCAGTGGTCTGTTTAGGGCACAGGATGTTTAAAGAGGCATTTTTACAGTTTCATGAGCTTAGTTTTTGTTTCAGAAGCTGCTAGTAAAGCTGATTTATATTTCCCTTGCAAGGGAGGTCAGATTTACTGTGCTGGGTGCCTGGTGATTTATGGGCTGACAGGGCTCCCTGGCCCCTTCCGGATGGGAGGCAGCAGGGGAGGCTGCAGCTCTGCTGCCCACTCACAGGCTTGTGGGACACGTGGAATGGCACGGGGCTCCTGCCACTCTCCTGGCTCTGACAAACCAGCATCTACGGGTCTCAAGAAGCCACTTTGCTAAGCTGAAGGAGAAAGGACCAAGCCTTCCTTTTCAGGCGGTATCAGCCTTCTTCCTGATGCATTTCTGTGCCGTTTCTCATGCCCTGAATGCTGTGTCTTTTTGTGCACTTTGGGCTCCATAGTGTTAGCACCATTTTTTGTGGAAGCCATATTTGATTGGAAGCTTGAGCTTCCTCCAGCAGAAATGACGGCCTGATCTGAATATTAAACTCTTGTGTGTTTGTTTACATTTGCATTAATCAGTCTCTAGGTTTTTTCAGCAGCTAGTGACCTTTGCATTAAAGTTGCCTGGTTTTAGTTTCCCAAATCTATTACTTTTTGAAGGGAGGTTGTTTCCCCCATATCATGACTTAGTGATTTATTTGGAGCCTTGAGGTTGTGATGGGGCACTGACTTTGCAGACCGATGGCACTGAAAACTGAACACCAGGGTTATTTTTGTTTCTTTTAAGGAATTTAGTGGAACACATGTTGGCTGTGTGCATATTGCACTGAGGGCAAATGGGTTGTGCCACTCAGCTGCTCTGTCGCTCACTGTTGCTTGGGATCCTCGCCCAAAAAATTTCGGATCTAAAACCTGCAGCTGCCAAGTTATAATGTAACAGCTTCTTAGCTGGTGTAAATCATGAAACACTCTTGCCTTAAATGTCTTACATCAGTGGAGTTAATCTGATTTAAACCAGCTGGGGACTTGGTATGCAGTGTGCAGAAGTGCAGACTGCATAACTCTTGTCTGTGCTCGAGGCTCATAAATCCTGTTTTAATGCAGTGTGACCAGGCCTGGGGAGCTGGGGCAGGGCTTGATCCATCACAATGGTTCTGCAAGGGAGAAGTGATGGGAAAGTTACATAGAGAGAGGATGAGCAGGTTCAGGTTTAGGAGGAGCTGCCAGGATGAGGATAACACCAGCATGAAATGATCTTCAGACTTGCAGAGCAGTGTGAGGAGAAAGGAGGATAGGGACACAGATCTTTTCACTTTCCTTTTCAGTACGCCCATCCAGAGGAGACCTCTTGCTTCCCAATGGGCTTCGATCCCTCTAATCCCTTGTGGTTTTAGTTGTGTGTGCTGGTTAGAGCTGAAGTAGAGTTAACTTTCTTCACAGAGGCTTTAGAGGACCCAGCAAGCTTTTTATCACCCTCCTTACAGATACATGAAGGAGTAATGTCTTGGGCAGGTCTGTCTGGCAGGCAAGATCACAGGACAGGTTCCTGGTGCCACGGGCGAGGAGAGGAGGAGTTGAGGTGGCAGAGGGGCAGCCTGGGGAAGCTGGAGGCACCCTGGGGAATTCTTGGCCCTCATCCTTGGCCCAAGTCAGGTAGTTTTCAAGAAGAATTAGTTTAGCAAGGGGTTAACATCAGCAGCTGGTGGGCCAAGGGACAGATGTCAGCATCCAGCAGCTTGGGCAGAGCTTTGAAAACTGCCATGTGATGTTTGACTCCATTGATTTTGCTGATGAGGCTGCAGCAGATGACCCTGTGGGAGAAGGAGCAGAGAGACAATGGGACATGATGGAAAGGCTCTGAAACCTGGCTGAAGGTACCAAGCCTCACATGGAGTGGGGGTATTTAGCAGAACTTGACTGAAGATGGTATTTGACAAATTGGAGGCAGCAGGGTTTCCTGGCTGGTACAAGCAGCTGGCTGCTTTCCTGGTGAGTAGCATCATCTCTGAACATGGTCTCCTCCTCCCCTGCTTGCAGCGTGTGGGGGAGTTCCCAGGGTTTCTCTCTCACTGTCCAGCCCAGCCTGAAGGGTGACAAAGGGAGGGAAGACAAGCATGAGCTGGCAAAGGGCCCCTGGCCTCTGCTGTGCCTAAGGTTAGCCCTCATGCAGCATGCTGCATCTTCCAGGTGCTGAAGATGCACCTGGGGACTTGCAGCCTGAAAACTCTGTGACTTGTCTGCACGTGAATTTGGTAAGCTTATTCATCAGGGGCTTGTAGGGGAACTAAGCAGCAGTGGGATAAGTAAGTTTCTGTGTGACTAAACAAAGATGTGGAGCTACAGGGAAGGAGAACAGAGTGAGACTGATCATTTTGTATTGATTAAATGGTTGGCATATCAACATGGTCTGCTGGAAAAAAATGAAAGAGGTTTAGAGAAGGGCAGTGGCTTCTGTATGCAACAAGCCCAGCTGATTGGGATCCTCCAGTCTGGGAGAGGACTGGCTGAGGGGATTATGGTGTGGTCCATGGTCCATGCAGCAGATCCCCATGTGCCCTTGGTTTCCTGGCAGGTGTCTGGACTTGGCATCTGTGACACACTGGGATAGATAGGAGGTCCAGTGGTCTCCCTGGCCTCAGACTCTGAACGGGGCAGTTTCTCCAGCTCATTATCAAAGGCTGTACCAATTGTTAAGCATAGACCAGATTATAATGTTTGTCTAAGCTGCCTCTAATGACCAAGCCCCAGGCTGCTTGGGGTTTGGTGCTGCTTGCAGCAGGATCCAGCTGCTGGCTCTGGCTTGGTCTCCCACAAAACTGCTATCAGCCTTTGTCTGCTCTGGGTGTACCAGCCTGGAGACAGTGGCCTCTGTGAGCATCAGCTTATGCCTTTCCCATCGTGTGGAGCTGGAGGGAGGGCAAAGGCCAGGGAGGAGATCTTGCGCCGCGCTCTGCTTTCTCAGGGCTCCTTTTGTGCGCTGAGGCCGAGTGTCTAGAGCACTCCTGCCACGAGCTGTGAAGGTGGAGAGCCTGGGAGCTGGGGGAAGGGGTTAAGCAGAGAGGTATCAGAAAAACAGTCCATTTACTGGTGCAATGCCTTGAACTGTCTTCTGCTAGTGTGCTTCTGGAAAACCAGCAGGCAGCATCCTGAAAATGTTGTCAGTTGCATTTGTAGGGATGTGTGCATGAGGGTTTGCTGTTGGATCTGTAATGTTTGAATCCATAACAGGATTGCCTAGGTCGGATTTTGTTTGCCTGCAGGGTGCCAGGTGCCTGTGTGTGATGTTTCCATTCGACAGCAGCCATGTGCAGTGAGTTAGTGTGCACACATCCTGTGTCACACAGAGGTCCTGTGCAGCAGAGGTCTGTGAGGTGGAGCCTGGCAGAGGGAGATGGGGAGGCATCACTCCCTCTTCTTCTTCCTGTCAGCTACAGAGCAATTCCTGGGGCATGGGGC